TAGTTCAAATGGTGCCACATTAAAAAAAAATTAATTTGCAAATGATCTCATTTCTATGAATGTAAAATTACTTAAGATAGCATATCCCAGAGTTTTTCAAGTAAAAACAGTTTAATAAGACAATAAGTGCTATGTTTTTTTTTTTTTCCTGAGTTGGAGTCTCACTCTGTCGCCCAGACTGGAGTGTAATGCATGCTTCCGGCCACTGTAGCCTCTACCTGCTGGGCTCTGGCAATCCTGCCTCAGCCTTCCAAGTAGCCGGAACTACAGGCACACGCTACCACGCCCAGCTAATTTTTGATTTATTGTAGAGACGAGGTCTCGCCAAGTTGCCCAGGCGGGTCTCGAACCCTCAGGCTCAGGCATTCCACTCACTTCAACCTCCCAAGGCAGAGGGATTACAGACTGAGCCACCGAACCTGGCTATAAGTGCTATTTTTTAAAAAAGACGACTTGTGACAAATTTGAAAAACACTGGAAAACAAGGATAAAGTGGCTTCTTTGCTGCAGGGCTACTCAGTATTTTTAATATTGTAAGATGTGTTGTGAATTTCCTCCATAGAGGTAACATTTCTCATACTTATTTACTTTGGAGTTTTTTTTGAGAAGATTATCTTGAGAAACTGAAATTCCTCAGTAAACGCTTTAGAAAATCAATATTCTTCCAATTCTATAAAAATGTTTTACTCTTCAGATTAAAAGGTGACATGGTGCAAGGGCTCTGTTTTTAAGCTGCAAATTACTATGATGAAAGTAATTTATTCAGCCTGTGCTTTAATCCTCTACTAATATCTGTCTGTGGGAAGAATTATAAATATTTACAAGTGAGCAACATAAAACCAGCCAACTTTCTGACAGAAAGGAAAGATCATCACCTATATCTTTGTTTAATGGATAATCATGGATACCGCTTTAACAATGAACACTGATAAGACAAAGAAAATCGTCTTTTGCATTGCTAGCAAAAACATATTCAGATACTTTGAGCAGGAGATGGAAACAGAAATTGGTGATTGTAAGTATCATTGATGTTCTGCAACTCAAATCTGCAAATTGCCAGTCACAAATCTACATCTGTTTTACCTGTAAAAGCTCCTTAAGGAGGAATTTTTTTGGGGGGGTGGTTAATTTTGTGAATTGTTCCCCCAAAACTGTTGCCCTCGGTTTAGGGCTGGTTTGTCCTCTCAGGATAATCTGGTGCACATTTAAATAAGGATTACTATTATGACAATGTTTCTTTTTATATAATAATTTGTTGCTAGAGCTGGATGTGTCCCCTAAAAATATGTGTGTGTGTGTGTGTGTGTGTGTGTGTCTATATTCATATACACAGGGATCCCCAAAATGTATAATTTTAAGAAAGAAAAAACTGTATTAAAATTGTAATACTCAATATATACTGATAACAAAAGATCAATTCAAATCACATTTAATTTCTGCAATTACAGGAGATGCTCAAAATGGCTACCATAAGCATCCAGACACTTCTGATTACAGTGAACTAAATGTAATATGTAACATCTCTTAAAGTGTGTATACCTTTTTTGGCCCCCTGGTATTTTCCTTGTAAACCCTAATTAAAGCAGAGTATGGTTGTTTTTGCAAAGCCTGCTGTATCCTTAGAAGTAGCTGGTAATGTTGATAAAAGTTCATGGATAACAGTATCCACTTAAAACATCAGCTAGATTTTTATCTATCATAGAAAAGCTTCAAATCATGTGATCCTATTAAACAATTTGTTTATACAAAAGGCAATTAAGCAAACCCACCAAACACATACATGCCTTTAACATTTTAACTTAAAATGAAACTGATTATTTATTTAGATAAACCAAACGACCACTGTAGACACTTGAAAGTATTTATTCAAGGCATTTTTATTTTATGTTGCAATCATAGTGTAGACATATAATAAAAGAATATGAGAATGCAAAGAAGTCTATGAAGCCAGTGTCTGGCCGTTTAAAATAAGAGTTCTTCCAAAAATTTATAGATGTTTTACAAATTGCATTCTGGAAAAATTTGGGAGAAGCTTAAACTTCACTAAAAACATTGTAATTCCACATGACACATTTTTATAGCAAGCAGTTATATATTAATTAAATGTTTATATACCACAAGCTAAGACTTAACACATTTTACATTCAGGTTGAAATAAAAATAATTCAGCACCATTTCAGCCTAAAGGATAAATATAACACTTTATGTTCAAAAGTGGCCCAGGACTTTTGGTAGCTGGAAATAAAACTTAATTTGTTAACCAAATATATTGATTGTGAATATAAATGCTACCCAAAAATATATAGTAAAGGGCTACATTTTAGCTGTCAATTAACATACTGTTAGCATCAGTTATTTTGAAAAGAAAATATATCCTGACCAGAATTCAATATTTTCATGCAAGCTGCTAAAGATTAACTCTCAGTGCCAGGAAAATCTTAATGATTTGAAGTTTTAATGCATTTCTTCTAGAATCTGAGTACTTGGAATGTTTATAAGTGTGACTATCTCTGAAGTTTTAACGAGCAAAAAAAAAAAAGGTATTACAAATAATGCCTAGTGAATAATTAGATGATAGAAATTGTAAATAAAGTTATTGTATAAAAATATAAAGATTTTCTGGAAATAGACAAGCTGTGTACTCCTGTATGTTTTGGTACTGTTGGGACACTGAGTCCTCACCTCAGAGGTCAAGACTGTGGTCTGAATCATGAGACCACTAATATGGCATATTGTAAACTCACTAAATTGCTTTCCTATTTAGACCATTGTCTCACAGTCTTTTTTAGTGTAAAAGCCAATCTCTTATCAGTACTCAACATTATTTGTATCATTCCTATTTTCTATTTTTAAAATAATTATTTAGAACTTATTAAGACTAAATTGTGTTCTTTATTTTATTAGTTGGTGACTTTCACCAGCTAATCATTATCTATGAATTTTGGCAGCTATTCAGAAAAGAGACGTCTTGAGGTTCAAAAATACTGACTGTTAAATCACTACTTGTGAATTATTTGGAAGTGTTTGGGGCGATGAGAGGGGTAGAAATGTTCACATAAGGGATAAGCAAGAATCTTCAGCTTCCTAATTGAAAAAAAAGTTGTGTTATTTTTTCAAAATCAACCAAATAGTACCTGTTATATTTAAAAGGCAGACATTTTAGGGATTGAAAACATTTTTAATTATAGAAATATATACATGCATATAATTATTAACCTTTAACTTATTTTTAAAAATAAAATATGGTCATGAAAAGCAATAGTGCTTAAAATGAAATTTTATAAACATGTAATTTTAGTTCTTAAAAATGAAATAAAGTGAAGTTAATGGATAATCATGGTATTTTTAATACTTCTTGAGGTTCGGGACAGTCTTTTTTATGTCCCAATGCCTAGCATGTGAGTACCTGGCATATATGAGGCCCTCAAATGATGGTGGATGATACACAATAGACCCAATGAATGATTGTAAATGTGTTTTCTTCTATATATCCAAAGGCCACAATATTGGCTAGTTTTTAATGCAAGGAATGAAAAGATAGAACGTGAATCTGTAGATGCCAGTCTGGCTCAGTATTAATACTGACAGTAGTTTTTTATTTTTAAAAAAAGCAAGTATATTAAAAATATCTCTATTAGAAAAGATTACAATTTGAAAGGATCATTCTATAATCTGAAAACTAGAAAGCAAGCAATGTAAAGCAAAGAGGTACATCAAAGAAGCTATTCCATAGCTCAGATACTAGCTCAACAAAAGCTCTGTCTGTCATCTCTACCGGTAAGTATGTGCCTGGGCAGATAAGGATCATGTGTACCGCTGTATCCACCACTTGATGGCTGTTCAACTCTAGCCTCTCCTACCGTGTTGTGCACCCAGTGAGTGCGGAATGATTATTAGTAATTGGTGTTGACTTTGTAACTCTATGACATATAATACAGGATGCCAATGCACTTTTAAAAATTCCACCTAACGTGTTCTGGCACTGGAAAAAACGTACTTGAGATTTTAATACTGGTTAATGTAGGAAAAAATCTGCTTAAGCACCACTAACTCAAAAGTGTAATTTGATTTCTTTCTGCACCTTTGAATTTAGGAAAAAGAGAAATTCTTTAAATTCTGTTGTGGCACATGGTTTCACAGTTTAAAATGAAATCACAGCTGTCTCATTATGCAGCACAGTCCTCAGTTTTGCAGAAAGTACTTTTTTCTCTTATTCACAACCCCTCAAGTATATAATGCTATGTGCTTTGATAATTTAGACTATTTTAGACACATACACAAAAAATGCGTGACTGTATCCTGAAAGACCTAGGATAACATTCCTGTGTTGCTCATATGTTGTGTCATCTATTCTGGATAGTTAAAAAAATTTTAGCATTTCTTTTTTTGATAGCTGAACATTTTTTAAAATGTAGAAAAGTGGAAAAATTCCAAGATGCTTTTCATTGTTTTTTAGCATCTGAGAGACAGTTGCGGTGTTGGGGACTTGTTTGTATGATTTTTAAGGCAGCAAGGAAATCCTATCTTTGGCAAATACTGTAATATACTGAATGCATACTATCTCTGGATGTGTCTCATCTGTCATCAGAATGATTTTCCAGTTACACAGTTGTCCTACATATACCGGTCCCCAGAATGGTAATATTAAGCATCCCACTTATAACATTTCTGCCCATAAGAAAGATACAACAGAAGAGGGAGTCTCAAGAAATATCAGACAAGAACTGGGCAGCTCAATTCCTTAATTTGTTCTGAAACAAAAGCTGACTCAAGTAAGAATGAAATTGCGCACTTGATAGAAAGTTATCTACTAATTTAAAAATGTAAACATAATTTTTACATAGAAATGTAACTATCTGAATACAAATACTGCCATTTCTCTGTTATATAGCAATATTTTTTGACACCAATGGTAATGTGTTTGCTTCTTGCTCAGCACCAGATGTGTCCATATCTATTTAAACAACAGGAGCATCGATTGTAAATTCATCTATGCTGGGACATATGAAAGTCCATTATTGTTGTTTCACTGAAGTTCTGGCACTTTAGAAAAGTATCAATTCCAAGAAATTTTGGCTCATTCATTTAAATAATATTTCCCCATTTTACACTATAAATTTCAGAAGGGGCATACAAAATTTGGATTTCCTTGAGTCAAATATGCAACTACAGAATGGAAACACTGTGTAAATTCATGAACTAATGTGAATAATAAGTATGAAAAATTTCCCAAATAATACTGATTTAAATGTTGAAAATCCAGTTATGTACTTTGCTATACAACAGTTCAAGAAAAATTCGTTTGTTTTCTGTTCTTTTTTTCAAGATACATAAATCCTACTGAAGTTAATCTATTTTTCCCCACTTCAGAACACCAGACACGGATTTATCCATTGGAAGTTTTAGATTGCTTTCTAGTACCTAGATTAAGAAAACAAAATAAGACAAATTATTAACCTGATAATATCATGAATGAATCCAGCATGCAAAAGTAAAGTCAACCTTTTAAAAACTTTATGTAGCAATTTCCCTCCCCTAAGCAACAGTCATGTTGTAAAATTATCCACTAGTACATTCTTGTAATAATGATTTGAAGAAAGTGACTATGTCAACAGCAGAGAGTACATGCCTGATGATTACAGTCTTCACATTTACAGGCAAAGAAACCACCTTTAAAACAATCAAGAGTAAAGAAGGACTTATGGGACCAGCAGCCCTGACCAGGGGAGTTCATTCCATGCACAAGAGTAACATGTCCACCGGGGCAGTTGTGGTCTCTGCACCATCTTGCATTAGTCCTTCCCCAGCCTGATTCTGGACATAGAATGCATTAACAGACAGAAACTGGCTCAAAGCCAGTTGTATTTAAACTGTGATCACAGAGCCCCATATAAGGAAGTAAGAATGCACTTAGTCCAAATCAGAAATGATCAATTTCCAAATAGTAAATTCTGGAGGAGAAGAGAACTTCTGTAGTGTCTTAGAACTGAAAGAGTCCCCAGAGTCACCTGTTCCATACATTTTGTTTACACAGGAAAATGAGGGAGAGGAACATTAACAACACACATCTACTTAGAAGGAGGTTTTTACACACCTACAGAATGCTCCTAACTATCTGAGTAGCAGAAGAAAAAAAAACAGTCACTGAACTGAGAGAGGATATGTCTTTAGAGATTTTAAAAAATACAATAATATTAACAGGGGAATCAAACTTCTACTCTTATAGCCACTCGTTTGGCCCCATGGCTTCTGGCACCCCCACTGTCTCCAGAATAAATTTCAAACTGTTCAGCTTGTTCTTCAACACTCTCTTCGATCTAGCTCCGATCTTTTTAAGAGTTTAGCAAAAAGATTAGTTCTTTACTTTTGCCAAACTCTTAACGCCGTGAAATGTATGCTTTAGCCAAACTAGAAGGCTTGCTTTTCCAAACATGTCCTGCAATTTCCTTCTGCCATGTGGTCGCTACAATGACTTCCTGGCATGCCCTTCTTTAACTCTCCCCAGCAATCCTCAGCCTTCTCCTAAAGTCACCCTCGAATCTTGGCCCAAAGAAACCTCTCCTCTGAACTTTGATCCTTAGAGAGAAAGACCTGAGGTAAAAGTCAAAATATAAAAGGCAAGCATCATTCTCCTGAAGGTGAGAGATTTTTTTTTCTCAAATCAAAAGTTCTGCACTTTCCTCATTCTTTCCACTCAGAATAAGTATGATCTTATTATTTTGTTATGATCACTAATTGTGGGTCCTTCAGTGTATCATACTTCCTTTTCTTTTCTTTTTTTTTTTTTTTTTTGAGTTGGAGTCTCACTCTGTCGCCCAGACTG